TCGTAATAAAATATCATCATTAATTTTAAAAGATTCAATATCATCGGGAGTGATATCAACAGTCCACAAGTCAGAACGAGTTATATATTGCTGTAAGGGTACATCAAAACTCAAATTAGTATTCATTGAAACACGTACAATAAGTCTTTTGAGCATTTTAATCCAGCAATCTAAATTTTTCAGACGAGGAGTTATTGTTATTTTTCCTGATGTCAAAGCAATAAATTGATTAATAAGATGACTTTCTCTATTATCTGAAAATAATAATGTTTCAGCTAAATCTTGTCTAATATTGTTTCGTAGAATTTTTTCGAAAACAATCTCTTCAATTAATTGATACAAATCAATGATATATTTAAGTTCAATTGTTGAAAGCATAGAATCTCGAAGTAAATTATCATTGAGACATATTTTTGAATCAATATATTGTTCGACAAAATTTTTAATTGTTAATATTGATACATTTTTATATTCAAAATGACGTAAATATGTAAAGATATAATCAAGTGAACCAAGATAGTGAAGAATATCATCATTTGAATTTTTTTTAATTAAATTTTCCAATTCAATTCGTTCTTTATTAGTCAATTGCTTTTGTTCGATACGTCTTCGAACATCAGTAATCATTGATGTATTTTCATCATAGAGTTCAAATTGATAATTTAGAAAATGTAATCTTTCTGTATCAATTAATGGTAAACAACTGATCTTGTCACGAAGCATAAATTCAATTTCGTCATAATCATAAATAATGTCTTTACCTTTTCCATAACCATAGTTTATAATAGATCCATCATCAATCAATTTTCTACTAATAAATTCTTGATCGATACAAAAAAGATGTTTTTTTTGTACAGCTTGTAATGATACAACATGTGGTTGAAGTTTTTTATTCATTGTATTAGAATTCATAATTTCATGAAAATGTTTAACAATATCATTTTGTAATTCAGCAATAGTTTTTAAACAAGCAACTAACAAAAGACTATTATTATCATCTCCTGATGAATTCAATAATAATTTAGAAATTTCAGTTTTTTTTGCAAAATCTTCCAATGAATACTTATTTTCAAATGTTATAGTCTGAGAACTTAAACGAACTTCTTTAAAGTTAAGTTTATACCATGCTTGAATAAAATATTCATATAATTTTAATGTTTCCTCTTTATCTGAATCATTGAATAAAATTTCGCTAATTGTTTTTTTCGATGCATTTTTACGTGTTATTCGATAATTCAATTTTTGGATAAGATAATTTGTAAATATAACAATTGGATAGAGATATTGAATATTTGTATAATCATCATATTGTTGAAGTAAAAATATTGTTATTGGATATACTTTATGGGCATTTGGTGTTATTCGAAGTTTAGCACGAAATGCATCCATAGGATTACCTAAATGAATAGTGATTATGTTGAAAAAATGCAAAAGTGGATATTGATTTTCATCTTCAATAAGTTCATCGATTAAATCATTTAATATTGATTGATTACTTTTTTGTTTTAGTAATGTTTTATATTTTAATTTATATTTTTGAATTTCTTCGATTATTGATTCAATATGAGGAATAATTAATTTATTTTCAATAGATTTTTCTAATTCAATTACCTTTTGATGAGTATTTAGAAAATCTTCTTGTAGAAAATCACCAGCAATTAAATGATTCATCAATTTAAATAACCATATATAACATTGATCTGGTTCAGTTGATAATTGACATAGAAATTCGTAATCTTTTTCAAAATGTTCTCGAAAATAATTACGATCAGGTAGATTTGAATTATTTAATTGATCGAGTTCATGTAAGAAAAGTAAAACAGCATGAATAATCATATGAATAAAACGAAATGAGATAGATAAATTAAGATAATCAGGTTTTTCATTTATATCACTTTCTTTCGCAGGTTTCATGCTATAAAAACCAAATCGTAAGTTATTATTGTGTTCTCTGATATTAACTGAATTATTTGATATGAGACTTGGCAAACATATAGAATTTTCCAAGTGTTCTACATAATTTTTTGGCATTTTAAGTCTTTCATCAAAGAGAATACTGCTGAGAAAAGTTGAATTTTTATAAGCTTTAAACGAGAGAAATATAGCAACAATATTCAGTGCAAGTAGACGACGATGTAACATATCTAAACTCATTGTTTGATTTAAATGATAATAAGAATCGACAGAAAAATTTTGACATAATAAAACCAATAATTTATAACCAATAGGTTCAAAACATTTGTTCAAATCTGTTTGTAATTTTTCGATAAGTTGTACATGATCATCATTACATTTGTTTGTAGTATAGAAATTTACATAATGATGCACGAAAGTCATGATAAAACAATACGATGCATGTTGATTATTTGAACATCTTTCAATTAAATTTTTCATTTCATACACTAGTTCATTATTGTCAAGTGTTTTATTCATATTTATGTATTCTTGTGAACCTTCAAAAAGTGGCATTGGAAGAATAATATTTTGCTTAAATTTGTGCCCTTGTTGTTGACTATATCGTGAAAAGATTTCCTTGATCCAATAACAATTTCGATTGACAAAAATATCATATAATCCTTCAAGTTTTATATGATACATTTGACATAATTGTTTAATAATATATATTTTTAAAGTCAAACCAAATTTAGATTGATCTTCTGTAAGTAGTTTATCGATATCTTCCATAATCATACTATGATTATCTCTACTCAATGAATATGCATACATTTCAGTATAGACTTTTAGCCAAGCAATCGAAACAATCATTGAAAGTCCATGATTAGATTTATTACTATAGATATTCTCTCGAAAATAATCATAATAATCGATTAAATATTTTTCAATCATATCTTCATCAGTAATAAAACTCATAAGAGAAACATATATACGATTGATCATAATACATTCAATTTTTTGTTTCTTATCATTTGATTGATAAAAATATTGATCAAGATTTTCAAGTTCAGATATTGATGATAATTCTGTCATTCTAGTTTTAATTATTGACATTAAATGAAGTTTTTGATCGATATATTTAAATATTTTTGCTGAATAAAACCATAAATTCTTATCAGATTTATTTATATATTCAAGAACAGTACAATATTGTTCACTATGATCGATTAACCAATTTTTTAAAAATTCCATTTCAAGTTTAAGTAATGATCGACAATTCAATAGATTCAATGAATTTTTACTTTCAATTTTAATCATTTCACTTAAACGATTTATAAACACATCAATAGTATCATATGTTGGAAAATTGCCATTAAAAACAGTACTATTCTGATGAGGGAGACAAATATTTTTGAAAACAATTGAAGCTCGATCGTTAGGAAGTAGATCCATAATACAACGAACAAGACTATCAAAAGAACGTAATTTTTCTAGATTATTAACATTGTAATGATCTAAAGCTAGTACACCTTGTACAATAAGACTGTAGGTAGTTGATAACTGTGCTATATTATCCATACGATCAATAATCGGTGAAGAAAGAAGTAATTCAATTAAATTCATTAAACTTGTTTCAATAAATGGATCACCAGCACATTCATAAGATTTATCACTTAATGATTGTTGTGGTGGAGCTTGATAAAATTGTTGTTCTATTTGAACAAGAATATAGAGATTACTTAAATTATTTATCGATGTTATTTTTGTCATGTCATAAATGTAAAATTGTTCATCGAAATTCCAATTTTCTTCACCAATAAGTTCTATACCGATTTCAAATAAATGTAATAATTCAATTAATTCATTATGATAAAGAAGAAGATGTTTAAGTTTATCTTCGACAGTTAATGTTGGATTGGATGTTAACAAACGTTGTGCAAATGAAACAGTTAAATGATCAATTCGTATCTCATCTAATATAATTGCAATTTGATCATGATAATAATGTTCAAATAATTCTAAATTATCAAGTATATTTTCAATATTTTTTCCATAGATACTTGTACTTCGTAGTTTTTCCATTGCAAAACGTAATAATTGATCATGAGGAAGATTAATATCAATGTTTTCATTTGATTTTGTAATCATTTCATTTATTTGACGAATAATTTCACGTTCGAATCTTGCACGAGGTAGATGAAGATCAAAAATAAGTGAAATTTCAATTGTATTCATATACGTAAATGTTTGTTCCATAGATTCAAATGTTAATTTCAAACAATCAAACCAAATAGATTTTAAATTTTCATATATAATATCATTCTTTTTCGACATAAGAAACATATATGAATCTATTAGTGAAGATTTTTCAAGATCAATCAAAAGCATTAGAAAATAATTACAATAATAGAGTAATATTGTCATTCTCAAAGCATCATCAATTGAACGACACGAACCAATGATTGTTCCATTTGTAAGTAGATCATGACGCCAATCAATAAATTTAGAACGACTATGATTAAAATCAACTGTTCGTATTAATTCTAAAAGACGATTTTTAATAATCATATGAAGAGATTCTGTATCGATATTTGATTGAGACAATAATTTGATTATAGAATCACGTCGATTATTAATTAAATATTCTTTATCTTTGCATGCAACTGTATATCGAACTCTTATAAAAGATCGACTAATAAGTTCATTGAAAGTAATATTTGATAGAGAAAAATCTGTATGAAGTAGAAGATTACGATATGAAGGATTAGTTAAAACATCCAATGATATAAGTTTATGTTTATTAAGATTATCAATCATGACTGGTGACCATCCATTAAACAAAATATCATTTTTAATTTCATGCATAATATTACGTTGTAAATGAAATATTAACCATACACCATGATTACTTATTGGTATTCTTTCGTTTGCTACAAGATGTTTGAGAAACAGAATATGTTTATATTCTTCATGATAATCAACACGAATAAGTAATAGGCGAGTATTATTTGATCGATAATATTCCTGAATCATTCTTCGTAATTCAAATTCACTTTTAAAATTACCTATTTTAACTTCAACAATAAGATCATTATTGTGTATATATTCAATTTTTTCATATATTTGTGTATAAGTATAAATAATTTGATTTGAAATTATCGATTGATTTAATGATTGATCAATTAAATCGAAAAATGAAAGATTATTATGTATATTATAGTATTGTTCTATTAACTTTTGTATCTGATCATTATCATCATCATTATTAATTTTACATGATAAATAAAGAGGAAAATCAAATGAACTTGTACGTATTAATTTCTGTTGACAATATTGAATAATTTCATCTTTTCGATATTCATTATCATCTTCAGAAATTTTTAAATAATCGTATGCATCCATAACTAAATTACAAATATAATCTGGATTGAAATCAACAAAAAGATGTTTCTTTTGTGGAAAATTTTTATTCGAATTATATGATAATAATTTATCAATCCATTCTAAGAAATTTGATGCAACTATTAAATGATATGAATGAATAAGACTTTCTATATCAATAATATGTTTTTCGAAACGATTGAGAAATGGAGGATCACAATTTATTAAATCTTGTTGTCGAATACATATTATACAAAAGAAATCATCATGAACCAGAAAACATGGTTGATAGAAAGCACCAAGTGTAATACGACAATATTTTTTACTTCCTGATACATTAAAATTTTGATTAAATAAATCATAAAGATTTGCATATATATGATTCATACGACGCATTATCAAAGTTACATTTGTTTCAGCATGAAGAATTATATCCATTAATATTCTTTGATTATATTGTTCACTATAAGTTGTACCTGCAATTAAATCATCTGTTAGTGAACTACCAATTATTATTCGTGTTGATTGTTGTTTAGCATTAATATATCGTTCAACATAATCAAACATACTTTCATTTTCTCCGATTAACATTAAATATCGACCATTATGTAATGAAAGAGATCGATCAATCATTTGATTAAATATTAATGATTGTTCTTGTTCGATTAAATATTCTTTATGAGTATATTTACAAAAACGTTCCCATAAAAATTGTGAACCATCAAAAATTCCATCAAAATTAATTCCTAATTGTCGTCGAACACTAGTATACGATTCTTGTTCTGTTGATGCATGTATTAAATCATTTACAACTCCTTTAATCAAAGAATAAAAGTCACGTAGACCAAAATAGTTTTTATATTTAGATTGTTCATTCATATATTCATATAAATCAAAATAGGCAGCAGCAAGATTTCTAACAATTGAAGTATCGATTGGAATAAGATGATTAGAAGTTTCAAGTAATGAAGATGCTATAGTTTCTGCTGTTAATCGTAAATCATGTACAGTTGGATCAGCACAAGGTAAATATAATGCACGATTCATTTTTGCTGCATCAAGAGACCAATTCGATATACCAATAAAACCATATCTACATGTTTCCATTTCTAATTTACTGTGAAGTACTTTTAATGGATTATGTGAAGATAATTCAGCAAGACCAATTTCATCAAATACAATCACAGGTAAAATATTAGTATTTCTTTCTACATCTAAATATTTTTCGGCACATTCAAATAATTTCATAACATTATCTGAAGTACAATTTTGTGAACCTTGATATGAAATAGGAATTAATTCAGGTAATGTTTGAAACAATTTTTGATTAGATCGTTTTCCTTTTAAATTATTTAGAACGATATTAACAGCTAATGTTTTACTTGAACCAGGTTTACCACATAGAATAACTGGTATTCGATTCAAAACACATGCAAAAATAACAAAGATATTATCGATAAGTGCTCGATTTATAGCCGTACCCGATGGTAATTTGATCTTGTCAATCAATTTCATTTGTTGATTTTGTAATAATCGAATTAAATACCTTGATATATTGCTTATGTTTTGAAATTTGTTGTTAAGCACTACTGAAATATTATTCAAATAAGACTCTCGTAATTCAGAGGAACTAAGACGGAGATAATACGTAAGAAGAAGTGCAACGAGAGTTGTTTGTTGAATAAATTCTTGATTTATAATCCTAGAATGTTCATAGATGAATTCAGGAGATAAATTTAGAAGCCAATTATAAAATCGACAGAAGCGTGCAACATCACGTAAAGATACACTACTCTTATCTTCATTCGTACGAAAGAATTGCTGCGATACTGCAACTAATGATACTATACAATCGAACCATGACATGTCATCTGAGATTTTATTACATTTATTTAGCATTGTTCGAATATAGACAATTTCTGTTTCTCCATCAAGAAATCCGTAATCCCAAGTATACTCAAGCATTGTTTCAGGAATTGGAACTACATGATATATTAAAGATTCTCTACCTAAACGAGCATTCAAACGTTGAATATCATAAGGATCTTTTTTAATTCC